GGACGGAAATGAAAATTTCGTTCTGTTAACATGGCACTAAAAATATTTGCAAAATAACCTGATCATAAAGGTCATCCAGTTCCGTGTAAGATATCATCTTGAAAGGCGCAGAATCGCAAATTTTGCGCAGTTCTTGCATCAATTGGGCTCCTTCAAATGTCTTCTTCACATCTTTTGCCTGGAGCATTAACCTCGAAGCTTGAATAACTTCAGTTGGTCCATCTCCAGAGAATTTCACGTCAAGTACGAAAGCTTCGTTCTTTGATTCCGCCAAGAACTGAAAATGCCATTATATTGACTGATTTCACTGTACAAACGAAAATTATCTCCGCAAAAATCTCGCACCTTCTTCAAAAGCATGATGAACTTTGGCTCAGTGGAAATATCACTTCCATACAGGGGATCTCCTGGATCAGAGATCCTTCTCAGAAAACTATCCAGCCAAAAATCGGTGAAGGATCTTTCACCGATGTGAGTCACATTTTCCAGTTTGGTCAGCATTTGAAATATAGTTTCTCTGGTGCTAGAATTTGAATAGTTCAAAGGCTCAGCAATCACAACCTAAACGGGAGACAAAAAATCGAGTCTCACATAAAATAAGTTCAAAAAGTTCAAATACGTTTTAAAATCTCTTTATTCATTGCTTGGTTCTCATACCGATTAAGAAAAGGATTATTCAAAGAATGCACTGACGAGGAAAAAATTTGAAAATTATCGAGATCAATTATAAGGAAGTTCAAATGCAGCTCACCTGAATTTTGTATGGATACGTATAAAATATTTCATCATTGGCATCATAAAATTTCCATACTAGAGAACCGACCCCAACGATGCTTTTCTTGTCAAGTCCCTGATCGAGCCTGAACAAGATGCCATAAATTCCTCCAAAAATGTAAACTCCGTAAATGATCACGACCAGTGCCTGTGAAATCAATCAAAAATTTAAAAAAGGAAATGAAGAAAAATCTTTGCATAGTTTAGGACAGTGGTGCCCAACTCAGAAGTGGCCAAGGGCCACATTAAAACACTAGAGAATTATGCAGGCCGCGATGAAAAAAAGACACAAGAAATGTTATACAGTACATTGCATTATTAATACATTTTTGGATGGTTGAAACCATTCTAATTGTCTATCATGAAGTTTAACCCATCCAGGACTTTCAATAAATGTATTTTTTCCTCAACAAACTTGGTGCTGTATTTTTAACAATATACCTCAACTTTTACCTGCATTACTGCAGGACTGAATTTTTGTTGATTTAATTTTAGAAATTAATCTGCATTATTTTTCAAAAACATTCAACTGAAGTCCAAAAACAAAACATAAAACAAAGAAATAGAAAACT